TTAGAAACTATTGAAAAGCAATGTAGAATCAATAATATCAAATATCAAATCACTGCTTTTAATGAAGGGCTTTAAGAATTACCCAGAATATGGTCTAAGGAAAAAATGAGAGACACCAAGAACAGAGAGCAGAAATCCAACATTTGGGAATAAAATTTCCTGCAGGAGAAAACACAACAGATGGGATGCAATAACCAGAAGTATACTAAAAGAACATATTCATGGTCAAGTCTACAGATAGAAAACATTTGCCCTGCACATAATGCAACTGGTCATTTGTGGGGAAAAAAAGCCTACAAGCATCCAGAGAAGATAGAAAATTCACCTACAAAGAACAGCAATTTGATTACATAGGTTTTTTTTTTTCTCCTTGACTGCATTAAATGCCATTTAGCATCTGCTAACATTTGTTAATATTAAAAGGACAGGATTTCAATTCATGAAGTTTACAAGTCTAATAAATTCCCATTCTGGAAAATAAGAAATCTAAGAGATTTTTTCAGATAAAAATATGGTGTGAAAAGTACATTGTTTATGTGCCATTGCAGGGAGAGAAAGCTATTTGAAGTTATACATGAGTAAGTTAATCAAAATAAGTAGCCAATAAGGGAGTAATTTGTTAGTGGGCATTAAATATATTTGAGTGTGTGCACATGTGCGTGCAAGTGTTCATGCACATGTATGTGTGCATGTATATATAAATATTTGTGAAGAATCGATGATTATGGAAATGTGTTACAAAATATGTTAGATAAGAGAGTGAAGAAATTGCAAGTTTGCCAACACTTCATCTAAAAGAGGAAAGTTGACAGTTATTGAAGCTGATACTTTGAGTAATACAGAATCCAGAAAGTTTTTTTTTATTTCTAAAATTGATCTCTAGCAATTGGAGGCCTTCCAAATTACAAAAAGGAAAAATATCAAAGAAACTCTAGCTATAACAGAAAACAAAGCGAAGAGATAAGGAGCATTAAAGAAAGGTTGCAGTAAGAGAAAAATTCAAATTTAAGGTGAAGGCTTCAAAGGAACAAAGAATGTTACTTTTATGTATGAAAGAGCAATGCTCAAAGGCTATAACTGTCATCAACTTTTATGCATCAAATAAAGCATAGAACAAAGCAAAAAAGGTGTGTTGAAAATAAAAGCTGACATTAACAGAAACACAGTAATGCAGTAAGAGCTCTCTTAACTGACTCTCCATATTAACAGACAATTTCTACTTCTCTGCAAAACATGCTGACATAAACATAGTAGTCCAAACACTAACCACTGATGGGTTGCTCTCACTGCACGCTTGTATCCTTCTATTCACACAAATTGAACTGTATGCTTACCAAGGGTCAGTCATATTTGTTCCCAGATATGCTTACGTCTGTTGTACTTGATATTGAACCTGCTATTGTATATTAAATGGTATGTGCTAAATATATACATAAAAAATAGAGTTTATACTAAATTAAAATATAATGACTTTGTAAAGCCTCAATCAATGTGACTCTCTAAACAGTCTTGTCAAATTAGGTGTGGAGATACAATTGTTAGGAGATCAAATATTAATTGCAAAAACCTAGACCCTCAGATCACTTTCAAAAATGCCTCTGCACGCTCCACATTAAAAATCCAAATAGAGGGGTATCTGGCTGGCTCAGTGGTTGAGTGTCTGCCTTTGGCTCAGGTTGTGATCCCACAAGTCTTGGGAGGCAGTTTGTTTATGTTTTTGTTATAAGAAATTACTCTATGCTCATGGAAAAGTTAAATGGAAAGAGAACTGATGATGCAAGAATGAGGAAGGAGAATCACTAGAAAGTTCTTAAAAGGATAAGGCCATGAGACCCTATGCACAAATAGAAGCATTTCCTTTGCTAGGAATTTAGTTCATTTACAAAAAGGAGTTAAGGGAGAACATGTGAGTTTTGATATACATGAGTAGAAATGTGAGAAGGCATAAATAAAAGCAAATTGTCTTCTGATTGCTTTTATTTTATTAGCAGCAGAGGATGAAAACAAGAGAATAGATGAGAAAGGATCTAGAAGAAAGAAAAGGTCTGAAAAGTTATCTAAGGACTGAGAGAGTATATATACAAAAGAAATGGTTGTTGATCATCATTAGGGCCCACTTGAGGGTGTCATAAATTTAAAATGGGACCAGTCAGCATGATGGCAAGTTTTTCTCTAGCCATGTTCAATTTTTCAAGCAAGCACACAGGTGCTACCAACAGTCTTATTTAATTATAGCCAGGCAGTATAATGAAACAAGAGAGATACAAGGGAGCTGTGGTTTAATAGCAAAGGAATGATTATAATAATGAAATATGGAATTGTCACAGAAGAAAGGGTGTGAAGACATGGACTAAGGACATGGAAAAGATGGTAGACGAGCTAGTTTCAAGTCCCTGAGTATAAAAGGATTGTTGGAGCTGGACCATTAAAGGGAGTCAGCTGAAGAAATAAAAAGTGATAGGCAGAGAAGGAGAAGCTAGAAATTGAAATAATTGAAGGGATAGATTAGTAATGACCAAAAAAATCTAAGCTGTAAACAGGAGTGAGTGCCAAAAATAAGATCAATATCATTGAAGGATATAAGGCCAAAGATACTGAAGGATCTTGGTGACTGTGGCATCACCAAGAATTATAACAGTTGTGGTGTTGGAGGAAGAAATGAATTTTTCACAAAAAGAAAAATGAAATACACATAGTAGATGACTTTTAAAAAAGCAGAATTAATGAGTGGTACAATGTCTAACAAGAGATTCAAAACCCGCATTTCCTTTCTTTAGCTAGGAGGGAAGGAAAATAGTCCATATCCATCAATGAGAAGCTAAGGAAAGTCCTACTTTTCTTCCACTCTCAGTAACTCTGGAGGGCTTCTCCTCACATTTGGAGAAGAGAGCAGCCTAGAGAAGCTGTTTCAGTGTGAAGTCAGAGACATCACAGATTTAGGGAGAAAGGGCCTGAGTGGAGATCTTCAGTTTGGGTATAATGTCAGGGAAGAAATCCAGAAATTCTCACATGTCCTAAGGAGGGTCATGCAAGTTAACTGATGGGATGTCTAGTAATTGATAGGATGACTAGCTGGGGTTAACATCTGTTAACACCTTACTAGTAAAGCGTGTAGGCTAGTAAGCAAAAGAGAATCACAGCCAGACTTCTGTAGCAGCCACTGTCTTGGAAAAACTGAAGTAGGGTCAAAATGGCAGACAGGACCATAGGGCCTGTCCAAGTCAAGAGAGGGAGAGATCCCATGTTCTTCAGCTTCATATTCCAGCAGAGGATGCCAGCAAATTTAGCTATGACAGGCTGATAAGTAGTGATGCAGAATCTAGCAATGATCCAAAGAGTAGCACAAGGACACACACACAACTGCAGCCCTTTCTCTGAAGCCAAGGGAGACTATGAGCTCCTTTTTTCTACACTCAAACTCCATCTTGGGGAGAAATAAGAAAAGCAAGTAGAATTCTGAAAAAAACTGAACATATACCTGAAGAGGACTGTTTTAACCTAGCTAGTAGCTTATGACAAAGATCAGATCACTTGTAAGAAATGAACAAACTGTTTCTTTATATGTCAGAAGGTAGAAACCTTTGTAACACATACATTGGGTGCTTAAACAAAAAGGAAAATATCTTTATAGAGTGTTATAGATTGCTTTATAGACAGGTGAGTCCAGATTAGCCTCACCCCAGCTATGGTATGAGTCTCAAATCCTGCATTAAAAACAGAGTTCTGACATTGTGGTCTGTTTTGAAGATTTAGGTCAGTGATAGGAAATAGATGAAACCACACTGCAGTAATGACAGTCAAAAAGGAGATGCTTACAACATAGCTGAGAAAAAATCAGAAGATCAAATAGTGGAATATCACAATGCCATAATTCTAGGTCAGTGGAAGGAGGTCACCTCTTCGTTTTGGAAATTGGATCCTGTCTGGGCCAGGAGTCCAAGCTTGTGCAGGTTCAGTGGCAAAAAAAAAAAAAAAAGTGCTAGGTCCAGGAGTGAAGAGCAAGTACGCTGTCCTCTATGCCAGTATATCAAGCCCAGGTTCCCTGACAGAGTAGGGTGTCATGTAGAGGTCGATGCAAGAGTGAATAGATAATCCTTTTCTCACCAACTGGTCTCTTACAACTTCAGAATTTAAGATGCTAACGTAGCAAAGGAAACCATGTTTGTACATGAAAAGAACAGACACAGAGCCTGAAGAAAAAAAAAAAAAAAACCCTCAAATCTTTATCAGACTTCTGCAGAAAATAAGTAATGAAGAATAATCTTGATTAAACCTTGAAGTAAATGTTCTTACCAGTTTTTATTATCATTAATATGATCAATGATAGTATTAATAACTAAAATCTATAATTGGTTAGCACTTCTTAGGCACTGGGCTACAATATTTATATATATTATATCCTTCAATTCTTAAAACAATCTTATGAAGAAGGTATTATCTTCATCTTAGAGATAAAACTGAGATTTAGTGAGGTTAGTGTATAAGCTACACAACTAAATAAGTTATGAAACAGCAATTTATAATCAAGAATCTTCATTTTAGAGCCCAAGGGCTTTACCAGTGAATAGTAATACCCACCATATTATTTATATAAAACTTTATATAAGACTAACTATATAGAAGACATTTGCATATCTAACCTTGGTATGCCTTCCAACAACCCTGTGAGGAAGGATTATTATTATTCTTATTGTTTAAGAAATGAAGCTAAGGTTAAACATATACTGAGCCCAAGCCAATCTCTAGCAAAAGGGAAATGGAGAATCAAGTTTGTGGAGAGGATTTAAGCTACCTGTTCATAGGAGACACTCTCTCATGTTTTATTAGGGATATTGTTATGCATAATTTTACAAAAATCTAAATAACTTATGTATAAATACAGTAAAAAAAAAGTCACCTTCCAAACATGACTAATTGAATGACTATGTCACTGAGTCTTTCTCTTCAAATTATTAAATATGAATATGTTGTATTTACATTACAGGTTGGTGGAGGCTTACCTCACTATACATACATCTTGTTCCCCAGCTGGCATTGCTCAACTCAAGTGGTCTTTGTTTGAAGACTATACCTGGAGAGAAAAGCACCCAATATTTTAGTTACCAAGTGACTCTGATCAAATTTAAAAGACAAAGTAAGATGTATCTTTAGATGGGAACCATACACCTTGAATGCTCAGGAGTAGCCCAGTGTATACCTGCTGTCTGCCCTGGCCTGTTTAATATCTCTCCAAGACAAAAGCACCACAATTGGTAGATCATCTATCATATGATCACCTCATTCATAAATGAGAGAAGATCCAGTTTCTCCATTTTAGGAACCCCCAGTTTTAGAAAGCTGTCAGTCCCATTTGTTATCCAAAGCTAAGACCTAGGCACCCTTGCTGCAGAGGTCCAGGTTGAGGTAAGGAAGAAGGTAAAGGAGAAGGACAGGGTAGGAGGAACAGCACTAGAGGATCAAGTTCTTATTACTGAAGTACTGCTGCACAACTCATACTCCAATCCGTCCCTATGTGCTCTCTATATTTTTAAGTTTAGTTTTGAAATTGGTTCTCAAGAGAAAACAGAACTATATAGGTGAATATTCACTTTATTGAAGAAATTTTTAGCATTCGCTGCTTTATGTGAGGAATATGTATATTTATAATTTAATACAGGAAGATTGATACTATAACTACTGAGAAAAATACAAAAACTATGGTAATATGTTCTCCAAATACCTCATTTTCCTCTGTTTAATAGTTAAGGAATAATAAATAACACATTTAGAATGGATTTTCAACTTTTTGAAATTGTTTTTATTTTCGTCATTTTATTTGTTCCCTATAACATCTGGTAGAAAATAGGAAAGATAAAATCTTGTATTACTGATGTATTTTTAAGATTGCATCTGTGCCTTGGTCTCAATAATACATATCTCAGAAACCAGAAATATTCCCTTCAGATAAAAACGTATCACAAGTTTGAACAAAATGGTGGCAGTCCTGTGTCATGTTTTTTGAATTTCCCAACCTCTTAAAAAACCAACAGCAAAAAAAAAAAAAAAAAAAAAAACCAACAGCAATGTGAGTTACCTCTAATTGGTTCTGAGTTTCTTTTTGGGGTGAAGAAAATGTTCTAAAATTGTGCAGAAGTTGCACAACTCTGTTCATACACCAAAAATCATTACACTGTGCATTTTTAATGTATGAATTAGATCTCAAAAAAAGCTGTTACTTTTAAAAGGCTAACTGGGTTATTATGGTAAGTTAAAGGAGGACACAGTTCTTAGGTACCCCTGACATCAAAAGATAGATCTATTTGCCGTGCCCTTGAGTTTATGCTGGCCTGTGACTGCTTTGAGTTAACAGTAGGCAAAAGAGACATTGTGCCATTTCCAGGCCTAGCTTTTAAGAGATCTGGATGCTTTAATCTTGATCTCCTGGAGACTGTAGCTGCTATGCAAGAACTTCAAATGCCTTGAGGCCTCTCTAGTTTGAGGAAGCCTAGTGAGCCATGTGGAGAGAAAAAGACGCTTGGCAAGCCTTCCCCCCACCCACATCACTCCAATTCTCAACCATTCCAGTCATCTCACCTGGAGTTACAGCACTGAATCAAAGATAAAACACCCATACTGTGCCACTCCTCAATCCATGACCCAAAAATATCAATAATAAATTGTTGTTCTAAGCAATATACTTTAAGCATATTTGTTAGGCAGCAATAAACAGAAGAGATTGCAAAACAAGATGATAAATTGTCCCATAAATCCCAGTAAAAGAGCAAGTGTATTTAAAATACAACAGCAAGATCCTAGGGGAAACAGCAGATATGCTGGAATAAGCAAAAAGGAATACAAAGAGAATCCCAGTGGGCTTTAAAAACCAAGAACGCTGGAAATTGCCAACCAGTATTTATTCTCAAAGAGGTCTCCACTCAAAGTGGAGGACTCAAATGGCCAAACATGGGACAGTCATAGCACTGGGAAACTTCACACGTTCCTATCTGTAGATGTGTACAAGAGGACTGAACAACTCTGAAGGTGTTAGGGCCACCTGAACAATCTGGGATTTCAAAAATAGTCAAAACCCTACAACAAATTGCCAGAGCAGGTCACCACTTGTTTAAGGTAAAGAAATATTAGGTGTAAAAGAGAAAAGAGATTTATATTCTAACCAAAGAAGAAAAGCTGCAGATGTGATCTCACAATGATATAGCTATGCAGATAAATATTTTATAAAATTTATTACAGTAAAACCAAAGAGGAAAACTGGTTTTGAAGTTGGAAAAGCAATCCTGACCTTCATTTCTGCTAAATAGGCACTTCCTCCTTAAATACAGGAAACTCCATCTTTCTTAATATAAACAATGAAAAAATGCAGTTAAACCCAATTAAAAATATTGCAAGATATAAGATGAAATCTAAATTATGTTTATGAAAACAAAATCACATCAGAAAAATATGGCTAGAGAACAAGTTGGATACTAATATTACAAAAAAAGTTATAGAAGCTGTCAAATGAAACATAAATCTGAATTTTACCTCATCATAAATATTGAGCCACTTAAGGATGGTTAAGCAACAGATGCAGAAGTATGCAGAGAAATGAAGATTAAACCAGAAGGCATACAAGAAGAAAAAGAGACCACAGAATGAACCTCTGTAAAATAAAGAGGGAAAAAATTATAATGTAAAGAAGGAATGATTTTTTAAAACTGGAAAAAGTAATAACTATACAAGACAGGCAAAAAAAAACATGCAACACAGATACATAAGTTCTTAAAAGAAAGCACAATCAGTGGAACAGAATCTGACAACTATAATGGAAAGAAACTTTCCTGAAATAGAGAATAAATTCACATATTTAAAGAGCATTTAACAGGAATCAAATATAAGTTTTTCAAAATGTGGGTGCCTGATGGCTCAGTCAGTTGAGCATCTGATGCTTGATTTTACCTTAGGTCTTCATCTCAGGGTCATGAGTTCAAGCCCTGCAATGGTCCACAATCCATTGTGGAGTCTACTTATAAAGAAATTTTTCTTTTTTTTTAGAACTGAAAAATACAATCATCAAAACTAAAAAAAAAAAAATGATGGATGGATTCTACAGCAGAATGGAGAGTAAAGAAGAACAACAGGTGAACAGAAATACAAAACAATAGATTGAATAATAAATTGAATAGTCTGAACAGAGAGGAAAAGGCTTTAAAAAGAATTATTTGTGTTGAAGTCTTTATTCCAAATTGATTTGTGTGGGTGGTGTCAAAAAAGGGCCCTATTTCATTATTCTGCATTTAAGTATCCAGTTTTCCTAACACATTTATTTATCCTTTTCCAATTAAATATTCCTGTATCTTTAGTCAAATATTAGTTGGCCATAAATGCAAGAACTTATTTCAGGGCTCTTGATTCTGTTCCATTTGTCTATGTGTCTATTTTAGGCCAGTGTCATACTGATTTGATTACTATACCCTTGTATAGTTTGAGATCAGGAAGCGTGGTACCTCTAGGCTTTGTTTTTCTTTGTTAGGATTGATTTGGTTATTTAGTTTTCATGGTTCTATACAATATTAGGATTTTTTTTGCTCCTTCTCTGAAAAATGCCTTTAGAATTTTTATAAGGATTGCACTGAATCTATAAACAACTTTTGGTAGTATTGACAATTTTACAATATTCATTCTTCAAATCCATGAACAGGAGAGACCTTTCCACTTTTTTGTGTCTTCAATTTCTTGTGGTTTTCAGTGTACAGGTCTTTTACCTCCATGGTCAAGTTTATACCTAAATATTTCATTGGTTTTGATGCTATTTGTGAATGGGATTGTTTTCTTTCTTTCAGATATTTCATTGCTAGCATGTAAGAATATAATGGATTTCTGTATATTGAGGTTGAATCATGCAACTTTACTAATTTATTGATTAGTTAACAGGTTTTTTGTTGGAATCCTTAGGATTTTTATAGAAGATCACCTGCAAAGAGACAATTTTACTTCCTTCTTTCCAATTCACATGCCTTAAAATTGGTCTTAGAAATGATTTTTTTGGATAGGACTCCACAGCAAAGGTAATAAAAGTAAAAATTTAATAAGTTGGACTATATCAAATTTAAAAGTTCTGCACAGAAAAAAATTAACTAAGTGGAAAAACCACTAAAGGAATGAGAGGATATATTTACAAACTATGTATCTGATCAAGAGTTAATATTCAGGGATCCCTGGGTGGCGCAGCGGTTTGGCGCCTGCCTTTGGCCCAGGGCGCGATCCTGGAGACCCGGGATGGAATCCCACATTGGGCTCCCGGTGCATGGAGCCTGCTTCTCCCTCTGCCTGTGTCTCTGCCTCTCTCTCTCTCTCTCTCTCTCTCTCTCTCTCTCTCTCTCTGTGTGTGTGTGACTATCATAAATAAATAAAAATTTAAAAAAAAGAGTTAATATTCATAATACATAAGGGAACTGCTACAGCTTAGAACAAGCAAAAAACATCAATAAATGAGAGGAGGAACTATATTTTTTTTCCAAAGATAACAATGGCCAACAAGCATGTGAAAAGATTCTCAACATCACTAATCATTAGTTAAATTCAAATTAAAACCACAACGATAGGAGAAATAACCTCATACCTGTTAGAATAGCTATTGAAAAGAAAAAAGATAAGTATTGGCAAGGATGTGGAGAAAAGAGAATACTTGTGCATTGTTGGTTGCACTTTAAGTTGATACAGTCACTATGGAAACAGTATGAAAGTTCCTCAAAAACTTAAAAATAGAATTACCATATGATCTAACAATCCCACTTTGGGGTATAGATCCAAAGGAAATCTTGAGAGGACCTTCAAGAGATATCTGTACTCTTTAGCTCACTGCAGCACTATTATATACGTATAATATAGCCATGATAAGGAAATAATCTAAGCATTGGTCTATGGATGAGTGGTTAGAAAGGATGTAGTATAACATGGTACAATGGTAGATTATTTAGCCATAAGAAAGAAGGAAATTTGCAATAACACCGATGGAACTTGAGGGCATGATCTTAAGTGAAATAATTCAGAAAAAAAGACAAGCAAATATTGTATGCTATTACTTATACGTTA